TTTTGGTCAATGGCCTCATATCCCCTAGTTAGTTGCTATATAGTGCTACAGGGATGGTGTATTTTGGATGTCCTGAAGTTAGCATCACTCTTGTTCCCTCAACAAAAAACTAATGGGATTTTTCTTTTTTCTTTTTGTTAATTACATCCCATTTTGCAACAGTAGAGAGCTCATTCATTGATATGATATTTCAATATCAATATATCTTACTATGATCAGCTACCAAGCTAATGCATTCGGCGATGTTATAATGTTACAATATTTAAATCGCTCATAAAATGTCTTTACAGAACGTCAGCTACAGTAGCTGTATGGGTGGCTGGCTCATCATATCGTAAGCAATTAACCTTACGTTAGCTAACGTTACTTGTGACTAGTTCATTAGAATGAAAGGACCTAACATGAATACACATGACAATATGTGATGTGAATTTAAAATACATTTTGTCTGCTAATATGATTTCTGCCCATGTCACGTAGGATTAGATTTTCATTGGCAATGTTGGTAAAACCAACAACTCCCATGGTCCCACACTACTTCATGACATCACCAAACTAGGTGCTCTGTTATCGTTTTGATTGAGAGACCCCTTTATCCCTTTATTATAAGACACTGCACTCATAACTGCTAAGCTTTAATTATAATGTAAAATGTAGAAGCGACACTTACTGTAGAAACATATTCCTTTTTTAATAATGGTGCTATTTTTATGAATAAAACACGTTCATATCAAGCTCAATATGCATTTTGCTGGATGATATTACAGAAGTTCCCCTCACACTAAAACACATAAACTCATTACTCATCTCTCTAATTATCACTAAGAAAAGAATCTTTCAAAACTGGAAATCTCGTAAATCTCACATATCACCAGATCACCTTATCACAGAAGACATTTCAACAGAGGAAACAGCAGCTGACAGGAAGAACAACATATCAGTCTTTAAAGACACCATACATTCTTAACCTTTCTAAATGCAAAACAGAATTCACCCCAAAACCAGAGCCATGTGTATGCCATGATAACATCTCCCTCTTTCTCCTCCTGCTTTCTTTCCCCTCATTTCTCCCTCAAATTACTGTCTACCACATGAAACTGGCCAACAAACTCACGCTAACCTTGTATTTCTTATTGTTGTGTCTATATTATGTTCATTTAATTTCTTCCGTCTTTTCTTTCTCTCTCTCTCTCTCTCTCTTTTTTCTCCTTTTCTTTTTCTATTCCTTTCTCTCAATTTGTCATAATTTGTGTGTGTATTTAATCAATTTATTTGTTCATTTATTTTTTCATTTTATTTATTTAGTGAAGGTACAGAAACACCCCACTAAGAATTAGCTCCTTCCATGAGGGTCTAGGAGCAGCTCAGGTTGGGAGACAGTGTCTTGTCACCTAATCAGCCTCTTCCCAAGCGTCTGGAGCATGACCATTGTAAGGGGAAGCCCTGTATTATTGTTCGATAACAATACAAAACACCTTCCACCTCCCCAGTACTGCCACTCCTCTCCCACCAGTGGCTGGTTAGAAAGTTAGTTAGTTATACATGTGTATCCACATATTTACTGTATGTATGTGCTTATTTATCCACACATCGGATTGAAGCTAACACACTTTTATTGGACTGGAAATATGTTGCTAACTATATAAACTCTTTACAATATGGTACATTATTGGTTGATGTTTATCAAATACTGTAAAGTTAAATGTGTTGCTAGTCAACATATATTGAACCCTGTATTTATCAGGCCTGTAGACATTCTGCAGACATTTTCAGAAAAACCCTAAACCAGATATCATGATTTATTCCAAAGTAAAAATAGTAGATTTTTCTTTGTCACATTAAGTAGAATTAGAGAATTGTTCAATCAGTGGAGGAGGTCACTTTCTACCAACATGAACTAAATACAGAATTTTGTTTCTTATTTTGGTCAGTTTAAATCCATATATTAGAGGATTCATAAGTGGAGGAATGAGGAGAAATTCTATAGAGATGAAGTTTTGAAGGCTCTGAGGTAAATCTGTGGAGCCAAATCGCATGTACATCAAATCAAAAACAATTACAACAAGGAATGTAACTAAAGAAATTAAATGGGGCACACATGTCTGCATAAACTTTATCCTGTCCTCTGTGGACCTCACACAAGTCCTAATGAGATGCATGTAAGTCCAAATTATGAAAAAGCCGTGAAACACATAAATGAAAATTGTTGCATATGCAAATACACTATTTAAAAAGGTGTCAGCTTCAGGACAAGCAAGTTTAACAATTATCCAGTTCACACAAAAGATTTTCTGAATGTTTGAACTACATAACTTTAGTCTTGACGTTAGCACAACATTGATGGAGAAAATACAGAAAGGTGTCAGCCAAGAGAAACATACCAGCGCAGAGAGCTTCCTCTTAGACATAAAAGAGTGGTAGTGCAGTGGTCGACATATAGCCAGATACCTGTCATAGGCCATAACTGCTAGAATGGACAAATCACAGCAAGCAAATGAGTACATGACAAAAGCCTGTGAGAGACATCCTTCATATGAGATTTCTTGAGAAGACGACAGTAAATCTAAAAGGTATTTGGGGTAGAAACCTGTGGTCCCGTAAAGTCCATTAATGCAAAAACTACACAATAAGATGTACATAGGTTCATGCAGGTTTTCATCTACGATAATGATAGTGACGAGAGAGATATTGAAAAACAAAATCATACAGTAATACAGTAAAGTGAGTGCGAAAATAGTAAGTCTGTAATTCATCGCCTCATTTATCCCAGAGAGAGTGAAAATTCTTACAATAGAAACATTATCCATGGTCAGAGAACAAATTACACCTCTCTTCTCAAATTCTACTTTCCTTGTGTCACAGCATCAGTGGTTACAGGGTGAAGGGGTTAAAGTGCGCTGTGCTGTAGATACATCCCTCGCAGAGTCTGCCCTCCTTCTATACCATCTATTAATTAACAGCTTTAACTACAACAACAAGGAACACGTGGGAATAAAGTCCATTGGTGAATACTGATCTACTTCGACCAACATCAGAAAAATAATAATGATAACAACAACAACAGTGATACAAACAAAAGTTATGTTTACATTCAGTCTTACTGATTAAAATACACTGTGTGCATCCTTGAGGTCTAACAAATGTTGAATGCATTTCCTTACTCATAAAACATTTGTATCTTCCCCTTCGAATGTTGCTACATTGCAGCCCATCAAGGCCCGTTACTACTATCAGTTGATCAGTGGAATAGTGAGAAACCATTGTTGGCAATGTTTATCGCATCATCTGTGCATGTACAAGTGCATGTGTGTCCTTGTGTGTGTACAAAATAAACCAAATGGTGACCCACTCAAACCTGGCAGCATTGACGGGCATAGTGTGTCCATGCCTGCCCACTGAGTCTCTTGCCTGGACAGGCCTCTGTCCCCAAAGCCCAAGTTGGACAAGGTAGCTTAAATGTATGGATAATGAACCTGGGTCATTAGAGGAGAATTGTGGAGGGGAAACATGACGCCCGTGTTTCATCCTTTCATTCAATTATTCAATTTGTCTGGAAAACAAAAAAGGGAAAATCTAATAAACACGGAAACCAAATCAAAACAATGTCTAATTCAAACTTTTCTTCATTTTTCTTCATTTATTTTAACAATTTCGAAACGGTGTCCTGCTACATGTCCATGCTTTGCACATGCGCAGTGTACTGTACATAATCGGCCCCAACACCAGTTCACCAACAAGTACTCAAAGGCAAGTCTTAAGGTCGCTACCTCAAGGTGACATGTTACTCCGTCCACGAGCAACCAGTTTTGCATCTCCAGTATGATGCAGCAAATTGTGTACATTTCCGGTTTCCTGTCTCAGATTAAAAATATAATAAATATATTAAATATATAAATATATGATTCAATATATACACATGTTGTTTCTGTTTCAAAAACACAGAGATGATGAAGTGGATTGTTAAGTGTGTTTGAGAAAATCAAGGAGGTTGTCCAGGCTACTCAGGACTGGCACGTGACGAGTGAACGCTGCATTTGATTTTGCTGCAAATCGTTACTCTTCAGTGTTTTCACATGATTGACAGATGCTTTTGATACTGAGGCTTGATAAACGGTTTATGTTGCATCGTTGTTTTCAGCTCACAAGGATTATATAAGAAAGTGTGGCACAGTGCTGTAGTGGCAGTTGTTGCCAGATGTTTCATGTAAGCTCTAGATTTGATTGATGATTGTCAGTTTCATGTGGATGTTCTCAAAGCTTGACTCAGTTTTTGTGTCTAAATGCATTATAAGTCATTATTCTCTGTACGCAAGAACTTTTCAGCAAAATAAATATTTTTTGTGAATTCTGTCTAATGTAGACATAACGAGAGTGGAAATGCAATGGGATTGTTTTTTTTATTTATCATAACAAGATAGACAGCTAACATTTTTATAGTAACATTTGGCTCAAGAGTAATCCAGGTCTATTTATTGAAGATTTTCACAATATACAAAATACAAAGAGTACATTGTATCCAGTCTGATCCCAAGTTGAGTGGATCAACCCACCCACCTGCCAACCCACCAGACCTGTGCCACTGAATTAAAGTCAATAATTGCCAAAGAAGAGAAACACATGTCGACACCTATTTCACAACAGAGCTTCTAACAAATGGAGAGAGTTTATCGCATGAGTAAAGTTTGTCCAGTAGTCTGATCCTATGAAGTTAACCTCCCTATTTGCTGGGCAGTGCAGTTCTACCAGGGCTGTTCTGTGACTTAGGAGTAACGTCACATTTGAAAAAAATCCCAAAAGAGAGACAAATTTTCATCATGGGGTCCTAGCATGTATCTTATGTATTTAATATGGCACAGTTCATAACAGTCAAACCGGACATGAACAAGGATTTGCAGGGCGTAACTTGGCGTATTGAATGAACAGGATGGTCATAATACCTCTTTTTTATCACACATGAATATATTCTGAATGAATTTGAAAATGCTCTCACTTCAGTTGATCTACGCTGTCAAGACACTTTCTTTCTGTTCTTGAAAAAAAAAAAAAATTCTGTTACGAATTTTGGTCAGTTTTAACCCGTATACCAGAGGATTCACAATGGGGGGAATTAAAAGAAATTCTATTGCTATGAAGTTCTGAAGGCTCTGTGGAGACCTTCCCAAAGCAAACCGTGTGTACATTAAATCAAACAACACAGCAAAGCCAAAGTTAAATAAAGAGACTAAATGTGGCACACATGTTTGCGTAAACTTCTTCCTGCTATCTTTGGATTTCATGCACGTTTTGACCAGATACATATAAGACCAAATAAGAAAGAAAAAATGGACATGGTAAATAGCAATGTTGAAATATGCAATACTGGTATTTGCTACAGATGGAGAGCAAGCTAGTTTACCAAGCAGTGCATTTGAACAGTAAAGTTTAGGTATGTGTGAGCCACATAACTTTGTCTGAAAAATTGTCATTGTGTTATTGAACATGCAAAAAAGAGGCAAGAGCCAAGAGAAGGCCACTAACAGAGATATTCTTTGTGCAGTCATAACAGAGTGGTACATTAGTGGTTGACATAAAGCCACATATCTGTCATAAGCCATAACAGCAAGAATTGATAACTCACTTCCTGATGATGAGTGTATCACAAAACTCTGCAGGAGACATCCAGCATAAGAGATGACATGAGAGGGAGACAGAAGATCAACGAGGAATTTTGGGTAAAAGCCTACTGTCCCATAAAGGCCATTAATACAAAGGTTACAGAGGAAGATGTACATAGGCTCATGAAGTTTTCGGTCCACAATGATGGTTATGATGAGAACAACATTTACTATCCAAATTACTGAGTAACACAGTACAGTGAGAGCAAAGAGAACGATTCTGTGCTGCACTGTGTAATTCAGTCCTGAAAGTATAAAAAGTGTTAGTACAGATACATTATCCATTAAACTCTATGTCAGCTGGCACAATTTCATTCATTTAAATCTTGTTTCATATCCAACTGTTGTAAAGTCAACATGTGCAGATCAAAAGGTGTTACTTCAGAGAGTGTATGTTCCTGAGTCACCGGTGAGGCAGTGGACACCCTGCGCCAAGTGTCTCTGACCCTACCAGTGTTGGTGCTTCTGTTTAAATCATCTCTCTCTGTTGACACAACACAAGGTAGTAATTCAAGCAGTGGTGCAGGAGAGAAGTAACTAAAAAAGTTGAGTTCATAGTTGGTGGATTAAAAAATATAAGAAAAGATTTCAACATATTTACACAGTAGTTAAATACAGTGCATAATAGTGTGAGATGTGAAAAACATTCAAAGTGAGTTTGGCAGCAGTAAAATGTTTTATTTTGAATAACGTTTATGCATTTGCACAGTTATAAACAGTTGTAAATACCGCTTTATATCAACTAAGACCTTGTTTTGGCCCTCACTATAATGGGCAAGGGTGTAGGTTTGGTCTCAACATTGGTAGGGACGCCACAACCCCGCCACCCCTGCAAAACAAAGAATGACTTTTTAATGCCATCAACCAAATTGTTTAATAATATATAAGATCTGAATTTACATTCAAGAATACCCCTTACAGACTGAGGGAGTACCTGGAAAAAAAACCATGCTGTCAAAGGGAGAACATGCAAACTAATCACAGAAATGCACCAGGCCCAGGATTCAAACCTAGAACTGTGTCACTGTAAGGCAACAATTCTAACCACTGTACCACCAGGCCGCCCCATAAATAAACCATAAAATAGTAAGGCATAAAAACTCATAGTATAGTAAGGCATAAAAAGAGTCACACTATATATAGTCAGTAAAAAAACATCTTAGTATGTTCTGGCATAAAAACATCAGACCTAACCTTCTCCCTCTAACCTGGTACCTTTAGACTACATGAGCTAGGCTAACATGAGCCACGTTTCCACCACAGATACTTTCCCCAGGAACCAGGAACCTTTTCAGGAACTATGCACGTTTCAACCACAGGAGTCCTGGTCTAAATTTAGTTCCAGGGTAATTGATTGAACCCCAAAAAAGTACCTGGTCGGGGGGGAAGTACTTTCCTAAGGTTCAGGAACTTTGGAGGGTGTGGTCTGCAGTGCTGAACATTTCTGACTAGTCGAGTACTCGAAGCATTTTATTTCACCCACGATGTTTAAAAGTCCGCAGGGAGCGAGCGAACACATTTTCCACACCGTGAAACATGTCCAGGAGAAGGTGAAAAAACTGAAACAGGACTTCAAATTAATGAAGGATCACAACACCAGAGTGGCTAGGGTTGCCAACCGCCAGGTATAATATGGGATCTTCCCGTTTCTGAAAATAAAATGCTATGTCCTGTATTGAATGACTAATGGACGCAATTTGTCCTGTGTTTTTTATGTTATGTCTTCAGTGCTGTGAATAATGTAATGTCAAGTAATAATTTTGCATCTTCTTGGGACTTTATGCCGCGGTGGAAACAAAGACAACAATAGGCCACAGGAACCGTTTAGCTCCTGAAGAAACGTACCTTTTAGTTCCAGGTACTTTATGGTTGAAACGCGGCTAAAGAAACTCACACCTTCCCTCACCCACACACCAGGTGGTCTCAGCGGCCATTTTGAGTTGTTTCTTTGTTTACCACCATCATCTGTAGTCTTCCTTGTTCAGGCCATGTGGTCACAGCGACCATTTTGAACATACACACACACACACACACACACACACACACACACACACACAAATAAGCACACCTGTAAATACACCCCATAATTAAATCATAGTATAGTAAGTTATAAAAAATGTCATAGTATTCATGATGATATTTTCACAGGATTTTTTTGACAGAAATTAAACCCATACTTTGATATATCCATCTTTTTATGTTTACTCCTTCTAGTGACCTGACGGCTAGCATACATAAGACAGAAGCCAGGGTTAGCTTGCTAGCTAACGCTAGCTAACATGGTTAAATAACATTAAACATCAAATATCATTCTTCTGGTGATGTTAGTTGCCACTGTGATATATTCTCACATGACGTGAGCCTTCAGACAGCCCCCACCCTGTCAGTCAATCAAATGCTAGAATGCCTAAATCAATGGTCTTGGAGCCATAGCTTCTTGGTGGACACATTGGAGTGATCTAATATGACTTCACTCCAAACATAGTGTGAATGAGTTCACTCAAATATTGGTAGGGACAATTCTGCCTACTGTCCATATGCAAACCTGTACCCTTGCTTATGGGTAATATTAACACTGTATTCAACAAGTTTTTGTAATTGCTGAGATCTGGGAATATGGCAACATTGCTAAAAAGAACTCAGGGCAAGAAATACAAGGAGCTGAACAGCCATGCAGATTTTAAACTGACGCCAAGAGTAGCCAAATTGGTTTGAAAAACAAAGTGAAGGCTATCAGTAAAATTATCTACCCGAGGGCTGAATCTTGTATTCTCTAAACCATGTCGTTTAAACAGCACCCTGATTGTGTCACAGTGTCTCACAATGTTTGTGGTTCTGGCATTATTTGTGTATCCATATAATCCAATCCAACAATATCACAATTATGTCAGATAAGATAAGGATTTATTGATAATGACATACATGTATTAAAGATTATGGTACACATTTTGTGATTGCAGAAATGGACTTCAGTATGAAAAATACATAATAAATGATTATGTTCTATTCTAGAAATTTTTCATAATTCAGTTCAATTAAATGCTGGTTGCTTTGGGGACAGAACAAATCATACAGTAATGTAAGATTCTGACATAGAAAATGTATAAAATGTGTAAACATATGAGGCTGGTAACTATGCTACAAAACATTTCCTACATGTTGTTTCTTTGACTTAACGGTGTTCTTTGCACTTATGTACTGAACAATTTCAGCAGATGATAATGTACAACATCAACATTCTTTCTACCAATTACATGTTAGTTCTCCCCACAGAAAAACTTAAGTTTATATTTACCACACAAAAAATGCACAACTGTGTTTCTTATTTGTGTCAATTTGAAGCCGTATATGAGGGGATTGATTATTGGAGGAATAAAGAGAAATACTATTGCCATAAAATTCTGGACACTTTGTGATACACTTTGTTTTGAGCCAAATCGCATGTACAACAAATCAAACATCAAACATACAACAATAACAATTAAACATAATAAATGTGGCAGACATGTTTGCATAAACTTACTTCTGTTCACACTGGAAAAAATGCATGTTTTTATTAGATACATGTAAGACCATACTATAAAAATAGTTTGCAAAAAGTAAAAAGTGTAATTAAAAGCTGGAATAACAATGTTTGCTATTGAGGCAGAACAAGCAAGTTTACCAACCAAAAAATTGACACAGTAGATCTTCGGTATGTGTGAGCCACATAACCTTGATAGTGAAGTCGTTATTGTGCTCATGAACACCAAGTAAAGGGGAACAAGCCAAGAAAAAAACACAAACATTCTAATTTTTTCCTTAGTCATCACAGAGTGGTATACCAGAGGTTGACAAATAGCCACATATCTGTCATAGGCCATTACTACTAGAATAGAGAAATCAGCACAAACTGCAGAGTGCAACACAAAACCCTGCAGAAGACATCCAGTATAAGAGATGACATGAGTGGGAGACAAAAGATCATTGAGGAATTTGGGATAAAAACCTGCTGTCCCATACAGTCCACTGATGCACAGATTACAGAGGAAGATGTACATGGGTTCATGAAGGCTTTTATCCACAATGATTGTCACAATAATGGTCAGATTTACCAGCCAAATCACAAAGTAACACAATAAAGTGAGAGCAAAGACAGTGACTCTGTAGTTTGCTGTGCCATTTAACCCTGACAGAGTAAACATTGTAATTACTGAAACATTATCCATCATATTGGAAATTATACAGTTTGCTCTTACATTATTAAAAACGAGACATCCAGTACTGCATCTGTTCATCACTAACAACCTGAACTGTCATTTGTAGTTCAGTTTATATGCTTTAATGGCAGCAACAGATGATGTGCTGGTGAACATAGAAATTCAAACAATCCAATCAGTGAGCTAGAATACGCTAGAGATGAATGACTAAATGATAACACAGAAAAGATTGCAGTAATTGCAGTAACAAAAACAACACACATATTGAGTTTAAAGACAAAATTTTAACTTGATGGTTTAAGTTTCCAATTTCATCAAACGTTTTGTTTTATGAATCTTTTATGAACACTTGCACTGACAACTAGCTATTGTTATGGCGTGTGAACTGCAAACTTCCTTACACACAGTTAAAGGTGGAGTAAGCAATTGAGAAAGACGATATTTGAACTCAACAGCAAAACAAATACACTTCAGACGCTCAAAAGTCATTACTAAGACATTACTAAGTCCTGAATTTGTAAATGAGTGCAGATTACTTGTATATAAACACAATTTTTATGAAACAGGTTTGCACAAGGAAATAAATAAATAACACTCCAATGGTTTGAGTGTCTACTTCACAGTATAAAATCTGACAAAGGTGATGTATGGTCCCTAAAACAGTCATTTTTGTTTGTGTGTGCTGTTTTTTCCTTGTTGAATAACTCAGTGAGACAGAGATGCTTTTAAAAAAATATGAATTACAACAGAAAATAGATCAAACACAAATTTGAAATAGTCAGCAACTGATGCAAAGTAAGTTTTAAGGCACAGCTATATGAAACAAGGCACACGTCTCATCAGGTGCAGATTTATTGAAAGCTCCACATGTTTTAAAATATGTTAAACATGATGTGATTGGAGACACATTTAAAGAACAACAGATCAATTTAGTTGGACTTTTTTACATGCCACAGAATCTTCCCTGTAATTTGCTTTCTTTCATTCTGTAAGGGGCATTTCAACTGTGAATGCTGGTTATGTGTGAATGTCACATTGTCTAATGATTAAAATGATAATGTATTTGGTATGTCTCCCAAATCATATACATGATTTTTTTTTTCTTTGTGTAGACAACTCATGACTTTGGTCTAAAAACTCACCTTTTACCACAAATAAAATTTAGAATTCTGTTTCTTATTCGTGTCAATTTGAACCCATACATGAGGGGATTGAGGATTGGAGGAATTAAGAGAAATACTATCGCCATAAAATTCTGGACACTTTGTGATAACTGTTTTGAGCCAAATCTCATGTACAACAAATCAAAAAGCAAACATACAATGACTACTATTAAAGAGACTAAATGTGGTACACATGTCTGCATAAATTTACTCCTATTCTCTTTGGATCTCAGACATTTTTTGATCAGGTATATATAAGACCAAACAACAATCATAAAATGGCCAAAATAAAAAGTATAATTAAAAGCTGGAATGATAATTTTTGCAAGAGAGGCAGAGCATGCAAGATTAGAAATTAACCAATTAACACAGTAGATCTTCGGTATGTGTGAGCCACATAACCTTGAATTTGATGTTGTTATTGTGCTCATGAACAACAGATAAAATGGAACAAGCCAAGTAAAAAACACAAATACACAAACTCTTGGTGTAGTCATCACAGAGTGGTATACCAGAGGTTGACAAATAGCCACATATCTGTCATAGGCCATTACTACTAGAATAGAGAAATCAGCACAAACTGCAGAGTGCAACACAAAACCCTGCAGAAGACATCCAGTATAAGAGATGACATGAGTGGGAGACAAAAGATCATTGAGGAATTTGGGATAAAAACCTGCTGTCCCATACAGTCCACTGATGCACAGATTACAGAGGAAGATGTACATGGGTTCATGAAGGCTTTTATCCACAATGATTGTCACAATAATGGTCAGATTTACCAGCCAAATCACAAAGTAACACAATAAAGTGAGAGCAAAGACAGTGACTCTGTAGTTTGCTGTGCCATTTAACCCTGACAGAGTAAACATTGTAATTACTGAAACATTATCCATCATAAAATGTTACAATTTATCATTATTTTTTTCTCATTTGAGCAATAGGAATTATATTTGCACAAACTAATCTTTGTGGGAGAAAAAATGGGCATCCTGTTCTGTGTCAACCCATTCCATGATGACTTTATATTCTCTCATGGCAGAAACACTCAATGACGCTGTTAGCATGGGACTTCAAACTTCCAGTACGTGATGTGGCATTTGCTTTTACTGAAAAGCAGTCAGCTGATATGTAAATGTATAAAATTTCCTTTTTACTCATGTTCATGAAAGCAGTCTGAGACGACTTTTGTTTTGTGACATGGTGCATGATGATGCTGGAAGTAACCATTGGAAGATGGTAAATTGTGGCCTTAAAGTGACACACATGGTCAGCAGCAATACTCAGATAGGCTGTGGCATTCCTATGATTGGGTCCATGGATTCATGCTATTGACGCCAAATTCTGAACAATTCTGTACGCAGAACTGCTGCTCACTGGATGTTTTGAATAAGCAGGTGTACAGGTGCAGAGGAGAATGGTCTTGTGTTATTTTTAAAATTAAGCTATGTTGAAAACCTTTATGAGGTGAAATTGAGACCACGTAAAATAAAATGCCAACATGTGTGAAGTTAATGGAAAGTAAGTCATGCATGGAGACTTAGAAAAATGTAATCTGTTATCAAAATAGTAATGGTACAGGAAAATAATTTGTCATGTTGTTTATTCATGCAAAACACATATATTTCCAGAATATTTTTAGCTGCCCAACAGTAACCAATTATGTTTACACTGGCTAAGGATTGGCACATTTATATGTGACAAAAATGTAAAAGGCATAGTCAGTTGATCTTATTGTTATTTAATTATTACTACACATGGTCTGCATTTGAGTAATGGACTTCATCTCATTCAATATTTTGAGATCATTAAGCATGTGACCACAACACTCACAGTCAGCTTATTTGTGGAACATCTTGTGTAATGTGTGTGTAATGACTGATCCTGATTAAGCCTGATTTCTGTTCTTCCTTAGCGATAGTGTGAGAGTTAATTAAATGACAGTTTTTTGGGGGTTTTTTGACTGTTCCCACACTACTCATAGGTTCTGTATATGTATGTGTTTCCATAGTTGTTTGTTCTCATGTGTGCTCATAGAATCATATTCATACAATTTGCCGTGGTGTGGTTCAGACTGATTATTGCTTATACCTTGATAACATCTTTAAACTGTGTCTTCTGATTTCTGGTAACTTAAGTCCATACACAAGAGGATTCAGAACTGGAGGAAGGACGATAAACTCCAGCGATAAAATTACAGCCACAAATGAGTTTATCTCTTCAAGATTATACCTGCTCAAGGCAATATCACAAAAACCTGTGATTGAGTAAATCACAAATGAAACCATGTGTGGCAGACAGCTCTGTAATACTTTCCCTTTGAATTCTGCAGATTTCTTCCAGCAAACAGCTACTATTCGTAAATAGGTGTACAGGACATAAAAAAGGGGAAGGAAAACTGTGGCTATGGTCAAAAGCATACCTACTATATTGTTGACAGTAGTGGTGACACATGATAATTTTACAACATTCCAGTTGGCACAAAACACTTTTTGTATCTCATTACCACATAAAGGAAGTCCGGCGGACAGAGAAATGCATGCTGTAAGAACAAAGCCTGGAAAAACCCAAGCCATTGCCACCAAGCTGAAAACAGTTTTACGGCTCATCTTTCTGTGATAGTGTAAAGGTTGACAAACAGCCACATATCTATCATAAGCCATAATGCCAAGAATGGTTATATCATAGGAAGCATATGTGTAAATAACATAGATCTGAGTGAAACAAGCAGAACGTGAGATTAAATGAGTATCAGACAGAAGGTCCATGAGGAATCTGGGGAAGAAACCAGTCGAACCGTACAAAGAGTTGAAAGACAAAAATGCAATAAACATATACATGGGCTCGTGTAGTGTTCTTTCTCGTGATATCACCAGTATTATGACAAGATTAGCAGAGACAATGAAGACGTAGAGCAGGAGGCAAAAGACAAAGGCTGGATAGCGGTGGTGTCCAATGCTCATGAACATGGTGAGGTTAAAGTAAAAGGAGAGAGTGCGGTTTTCCATTCCACTCACACTAAATCAGAGGCAAAGACGTCAGTAGTTTGGTCTTTGTTGTTAGATGAACTCTCATTCCTGACAACATCTGTGAGAAGGAAGATTTAAGCAGTTGTGTGATAAAGTGCTAACCACCTCCAATCATTGACACATAACATCATATAATATTGGTCATACCTACAGTAGTTTCACCTTGAGGCCTGCTCTACATTTTGCTCTTGGTTGGATCTCCAGACACGCCACAAGTGCAGGTAATAAGGAGGAGTTAAGAGTGTTTTATCTCATCTGATCTTGAATGCTGTCATAGTTTTTCTACTCTGGAGAATTCTGATAATCACTGTAAAATTTAGTACTTACCATAATGCATTTTAAGATTAATACTCAACTGTGAAAATCTAGTTTCTTATGATGTCTGGGATCAATGTCATTTCTTGCTTATTATTCCAAAAAACAATGAGGAGATACACAATGGGATAAAATATATTGGTCACCCCCGCAGGAGTCCAACATTGACTTACAGTGACAAAGTTGTAACAACTGTAACTAAGACATGTAAGGGCCCTGACACACCAAGCCAAGAACAGGCCAACAGGTGCCCGTGGGCTGTCTGTGAGTGACTGTTGCTGACATCTGCTTTTTGTTAACCTTAAATAAAAGACTTAAACCATGATCAGCGAAAAATCTTTTTTGCAAGACATCACACGCACATCATCACACACCGGCTTGGTCCCCCACACCTCTTTGGGGTAAGCACCCTCCACGAGGTTGCTAGAGGTTTACTCCAAGTAGGTCTAAAATGGATTGTGGAGGCCCAAAGCATTCTTTGAGGTTCTGTTAGGAACAGGCTGAGGTATACAAGGAGTTAAGTTTTATTAGGGTGACTAGCTATAGGGCTGTCCCTGACAGTGAGGGGCACAGGAGGGAAGTCTCAACCGTTCAGTTAAGTGTCTAGCTGAGGTTCAGGCAAGGGAGGGAGGGTTAACCCCATAGGTTTATCTCCAGCACTGCTTACACTTAGAAGGGATAGTGAACCTTTCGTATCAGGCCCACTGCGTCGTCAAGGCCCGACACAACCAGCATGAAAAGACACCCTGAGAGCTCTGCCACCCCCAAAAAAGGCTCATTAAGGACAGCGAAAGTCCACCCCAAAGGGGTCAACTCTCAGAGTGACAACTCTGGGGTTTTATCACCAGCCAGGGTTTAATTGTGCAAGGCAGTTCAGACACATTTTGCAGTGTTTTCTTTATCAGCTCAGGTTGATTCACCAACATCTCATCATCTTTTCTTCCTGGTTTTCACCCTGATTCTCCACAGACTTGAGTAATTCTGATTCTGACCTTGCTTTTGTCCACGAAGCAGCTGAGATGTTAGCTTTAATGGTAAAATGAGCAAAGTCATAAATATTATTATCATCAGTAGAGATTCATATTTGGTGGTTACTGAGGTCTCCTGTTCTTCAGTCTTCTTTGACTATGTGCCAGTTGGGGGTGTTTGTACCCTGCCCATAGGTGCACTGTTTCTATTGTGTTATCTTGATGGTTATTGATTTTTTTTTGGATATCCTACTTAAAGACTATCTTAAGGTTTCACCACTTTGAGGCAAAAAATAAATATTATTACATATTCTGTTCTTGGCAGAATGGAGTAGCAATTTCTACTATAAAGTAAACAGCATAACATTTTTATAGGAAATATACAACATAACCAAATATTTACATAGATGGACAAATGCCACACTCTATGACACATATTGTGTCTATGGTCTGATATGGGCATGTATTTTCTGCTTTGTTCAAATAATATTTCCCAAATGACATAGTGTGTAAGAAAAATAAAACCCATTATATTCAATGATTTGTTGTGCCACCCTTCTTTATTTTCTTTAACGACATGTAGAATGGAATCGTTTGAGTTTTAGATATGTCTTTTCATTCATAAAACTGTTGTTTCACAAAAGACAAAATGCTCATGTAGAGTTTTTGTTCACATGGGGGGGGGGGGGGGGGGGGGGGGGGGTGTGTATTTGACCTTATACATATCACTACATGAAAGTTATGGCAGAGTCATGAGTGTTATATTAAGCAACAGGTGAAAAAATTAAGCAACTGGTTTTAATTTCATAAATACATCCTGAAGAGATATTGGCACATTTTGTATCTGTTTTTGATGAGACTATATGCATGTATATAACTATGGAGTGAGCATTTTCTTTATGAGTGCTATCTCCTTTATGTTTTTTTTTCCTGTGCACCCACCAAACCAGATGGGGGAATTTTTGAAAATTATTCACAAAAATAGCTTTTTCTGTGTGCTTCTATTGTCTTGGCAACCTGAGCATGGCTGTTCCTAAACAATGTCATTATTATCTACATTTAAAATTTAACAAGCCAAGAGCATGGGACATGCACATCCATCTTATAGTATTCTTATTTCTGTTATTGTAACAGTCATAGTTAAATTTATGCAGTTATACTTGTTCAAAATGTTTTGAACTATTGTTTTGAGTTAAACATTATTAAAATGTGTCTTGAAAGGCCATAAATGAGAGGATTCAGAACTGGAGGAATGACAGCAAACTCCAGTAAAATGTGTTCATCTCTTCAAGATTATACCATCTTAAGGCAATATCACCAAACAGAACATAACATTAAACAATGTTACAGCAAAACTAAAATTTTGTTTATAGCACATGATAATTTTACAACATTCCAGTCAGATCAAATCACGTTTTATCTCTTTGCCACTAAAGGAAGCCTGATGGGCAAAGAAATGTATGCTGCAAAGAAAAAAGCAGGACAACCTTTAAACAGTTGTGAACTCGGTGGCAAAGGCCTCCGCACTCATAAGGACACTTGGGACAGCTCAAGCTCCACCAGTGGCTCTGACAGTGATGCAAAATTCTGTCTAATTAAGTTGAACTCAAGTCCGTACTGTCCTTCCAGATTCATCAAACATCATTTCTACCTTATCATATGAAATACTGTGATGACTGCAGAAAAAGACTGAGACATTTTTGATAAAAAAGGAAGTCATCTTTCTGTGATAGAGTAAAGGATGAGAACGGTCACTTAACGGGGGCATATGTGTAATGAAGGTGGTTTATTCATAACACAGATCATTCGTATGATCAGTGTAGATTCTAGTAATGTTCTAGAGGAATTCTTCTTAGTTTGGGGTTTTTCTGCATAGCATCCTGAAAATGTGTCTTCTAATTTCTGGTAATTTAAGGCCATAGACAAGAGGATTCAGAACCGGAGGAATGACAACAAATTCTAGTGACAAAATTACAGCCACGATTGGATTTATCTCTTTAAGATTTTGTCGGCTCAAGGCAGTATCAATAAATGACGTGATGGAATAAGTCACAAATGAAATAATATGTGGAAAACAACTGTGTAATACTTTCCCCTTGATTTCTGATGAGTTTATCCAACAAGCAATGACAATTCTCAGATAAGTATACAAGATAAAACTGAAGGGAAGGAAGGCCATACTTATGGCCCCCAACATAGCGACAACATTATTAACAGAAGTGGGAAGACATGATATTTTTACAATATTCCAGCTGGCACAGTATACCTTCTGTATATTGTTACCACAAAGAGGAAGCCTGACAACCACAATAATGCTTACTGTAAGGTTACATGCTGGAAATGCCCAAGCAAAGAATGCCAATGTATAGACAGTTTTACGGCTCATCTTTCTGTGATAGTGTAAAGGATGACAAACAGCCACATATCTATCATAAGCCATAATGCCAAGAATGGTCATTTCATAGGAAGCATATGTGTAAATAACATAGATCTGAGTGAAACAAGCAGAACGTGAGATTAAATGAGTATCAGACAGAAGGTCCATGAGGAATCTGGGGAAGAAACCAGTCGAACCGTACAAAGAGTTGAAAGACAAAAATGCAATAAACATATACATGGGCTCGTGTAGTGTTCTTTCTCGTGATATCACCAGTATTATGACAAGATTAGCAGAGACAATGAAGACGTAGAGCAGGAGGCAAAAGACAAAGGCTGGATAGCGGTGGTGTCCAATGCTCATGAACATGGTGAGGTTAAAGTAAAAAGAGAGAGTGCTGTTTTCCATTCTCTAAGTCAAATAGTTCTCTCTGAGAGGAAAAAGTCTCTTTGTCTGTTCTTAAACAATCTCTTATCACAGTTTTTTTTTTAAACATCAGTCATAATAACTCAACAGAAAATTTTGAGCAAAAAACAATTATACCTATCAACCTATTTAGCTATCTATATAGTGTGATATCTATGCACAACTAAACCAAAACTAGGTTCTGGGAGGTATTCAAAGACTGTTATCTTGTCCAGCCTTTGAGATGTTACATCATTTCACATCTGGAGAATTTAGAGACCTCCCCACAGTGCATGCTGATGTTTGAAATAATGCATTAGGGAGAGATTTTATCCATGCTAGTGAGTTTTTAGCTATACTTATGTCATGATAACATTTTCTTATTATCAAACTTAACTAAATATGGCAAAAGCCATGCAGAAACAGCTAACCATACATGGTTATAACCTTTTAATGACATGAATAAGTGAAAATGATAATGAAGATAGTTCCTAATTCGGTTAAACAACTAGACTTGCCGCCTCACGGTTGTATGCCTCCGCCACTCAGACTAGTTTCAGGTTCCCTGTTTATCCAGAGTCATATAAGATATAAACCATTTGTGTGAAATTTTGTCATAATTGCTGCGTAAAGTCTTGAGTAATGGCTAAAAGGTTTTGTGAGGTCACACTGACCTTGATCTTTGACCTTAGACCACTGAAGTCTAATTAATTAATCCAAGTGAACGTTTGTACCAAATTTGAAGAAATTCCCCCAAGGTGTTATGGAGATATTGCGTTCACAAGACCAAAAACAGGTTTTGTGAGGTCTGCCCTCACGGACAGGTGGTCTGTCAGCTCACAGCAGTCCTTCTCACAGAAGTAACAGAGTGATGCTCTAGTGGTCAACATATGGCTGTATATCTGTCATAGGTCATAAGAACTAAAACAGAGTAGTCAACCATTGCATGGTTACAAGTCCATTGATGAACAAGTTACACAAACAAATATACATGGGTTCATGTAAGTTTTCATCCAAGATTATAGTTAAAATCAGAGACACATTAATTAACCACCAAAATAGTTGTGGAAAAGTAGAAACAAAATTTAAACAAAAATGCAATTCTAACAGACGTTTTTCCTGTGTGGGAACCTCATCTTTGAGGTCATTAACATTACAAAAGCCTGATAGAGAAAGGACGACAGGAGAATCACACAAACAAAACAACCCTTTCTTTAGTCAAACAGTGATTGTGGGGTGGTTATATAAATCAAACCTTCAGTCTCAGTTTAACCCTTTGACCTGCCATCATGAACAAAGAAATCATTCTACTCCGAATTTTAGTCAGGATCAGTCCATAAATAACAGGGTTGAGAATTGGGGGGATGATGAGAAACTGTATGGCCATGAAGTTCTTTAGACTCTGTAGTACTGATGCTGATCCATACCTCGAGTACATTAGATCAAAAAGCAAAGCAGCTGTAACATTAAGCAAACACAATAAATGTGGCACACATGTCTGTGTAAACTTTCTCCTGCCTTCTCTGGATTTTAAAGCTGATTTTACCAGCTGCACATATGAACACACAGTGAAGAGAACATGCCCGATATAGAAGGAAATAAGAAACAGTCCAAGAATGTCATTTGCTGTTGTTGAACTACATGCAAGTTTAACAATTGACCAGTTCTCACAGTAGAGTTTCTGTATGCGTGAGCCACATAATTTTAGTCTGGATGTCAACGATACAACCATTACCTCACAGCACAGAGGTACCAGCCAGGACAAACTAACTAACACAGCAGTCCTTCGCACAGACATAACAGAGTGATACTCCAGTGGTCGACATATGGCCACACATCTGTCATAGGCCATAAGAACTAAAACAGAGAAGTCAACTTTTACATAGGAGTATATAACAAAGACCTGTAAAAAACACCCTGCATATGATATTACATGAATATCAGACAGAAGGTCAGAAACAAATTTAGGATAAAAGCCTGCAGTCCCATAAAGTGCATTGATGCACAAGTTGCACAAACAAATATACATGGGTTCATGTAAGTTTTCATCCAAGATTATAATTAAAATCAGAGACACATTAACCACAAAAATTAGACCATAACATAGTAAAGTGAGAAAGAAAAGTGTGACTCTGTAGTTGACTGTTCCATTGAAGCCTGACAGTGAAAATACAACTATACTAGATGTATTACTCATTTTTGAAGTGATCCTTCAAAGCAAAACTGTCCAAGTGATGAAAAGTATGTAAGATGTAATGCATTGAAATGGTTGAAATGCTCATTTGTTTGTCAGTATACAGTATGTCTAACTGCAGTTGTGTGAAATACAGCTGAATTATGCATTCAGATGTAAGGGAACACCCCCTCCTTAAATGCATGTGTCGGCTAGAGAGTTTAAGTCCTGATGTCATGTCTAGCATGTTTACCTCAATCCAGTGTCTTAATGAGAATTTCTTTCATCTGTCTGTCTAAACAACAAATACAGCCTGTTCCTGGGGATTATTTCCCATATTGTAAAACTAATTGTCATCCACTACAACACTTATTTGCAATTATTTGTGACTTTAGCAAAGTTTACAACTGATTTATCAACACTCAAAAAACTATAGTTCCCACAAAATCGTACCAGTGCAGCTGGGCAGGTACTTAAGTGATCTACTAATGTGATCTGTTCAACTTTTTAGTCGGCACATAAAAATTAAAAACAATAAAAAAAGAGCTTAGAAATGTAAGCGAACACAAGAACACAAACTACAGTTACACCAAAGTCATAAGAATGTATCCTATGGCGACCTTGAATATCAGGTGTAAATTTCATGGCAATCCCTCCAGTACTTGTGAGATATTTCAATCTGAAGCACAAATGGAAACCTTGTGGTGGAGCTACAGGAAATATCAAGGGGTCATCAAAGTAAAAGTACGATTCAACCTCTGGAGACCATGAAAATCAGAACACAATTTCATGGCAATCCATAGTTGTTAGGATGTTTCAGTCTGGGGACAAAGGATCTCCTGAATCGCTCAGTCTTGCAGCACATGCTTAACACAAAATGAAATGGCCCAATAATAAGAGCTACCAGCCACCATTGGAAACATGCAAGCTGTCAGTTCCTCCTTGTGAAGAGCACCTACGGATCACACTGTTTATTGTCAGCTGAGTAAATCAGAAAGTGACGTAATGCATTGGAATACAGTAGTTCAGTGGTCGAAAAAATGAAGTGCCAAAGGAAATTGCTGTTTTCAGTTAGATAAACCGCTGAAAATATTCTACATTAAGCATACATTTAAACGGATATTGGATTGTTAAGGTGAGCTCTCTAAAAAAAACTCTCTAAAACAGGTTTTTTCTTGTGGCCCCATGCACAGCAACACAAAGCCACTCTATTGGGTGCTGACTGGGAGCACGCTGGATAGAATCCACTGGCAGTAATGAACTAACTATTCATGAGTACCTCACACAACCCCACGTCAAAAAACCCAAACTATACCTTTAAGGCTTTTATCAGATAACATGCTTCACAAGTAGATATTCCTAGCATACATGGATTTTCAGTGAAGGTATCAGAGGGTGTCAGTTGACACAGTTAGCCTAGACCATTCATGGCCCCTGAAGTTCTGGGGTACTGTAGCAGTTGTCTGCTTTGTCCACTTAGATACTTTATTTATCCCCTGGTTCTAGTTCTGTAACCCAGCATTGGTCATATGGTGAAAAAGCACTGGTGTATTTAGTCATATTCATTAATAATTGTACACAATACCAGGACCTTGAACTGTGTTATGCCCGGCTCATTTAGGAGCACAACCAAGAAGACAGGTTCACACAGCGACCATTTAAAGAAAACAAATTTATTAAGGATAACCCAAGTTAACCTAAGCAAAATAACCATACGTGAAGTCAGTAGTGTAGTGGAGATATTGGGTGCTAGGAAAATAAAGCCAACACAAACTACATGTACAGAAACTGAGGCCTTAACCAAACAATATACAACCAAACAAAAATCAAGTTGGGCGCCTGAAAGGCACCAGCCTTCCAGGAGGGTTGAGCGAGAGAGAGGCCATCTTGAATTCCCAAATATGCTCCACTCAGGTGAAATCCATCAGGTAATCAGGAAGTACCTGAAAAACACACAGGAAACAGGAACAGGCCAAAACAAAACAAGGTCATACGGCCCAGGGCTGTCATAACTGACTCAGCTAAACAGAACACAACCTATATTAATGTTATTAATTACACAAAAGTCTCAACCACTTTTATACAATGTTTCCATCTGAATTACATAGTTGTTATTTATTAAATAAAAGATATCAATGTGTTATCAACAAATAAACACACCAAAAATACTGAAGAGCCCTAACTTCTTTTAATTCATTGTTAGCAGTTAGGTAGCTAACATCACAGACAGTTAAATCTACTTTTGTGAATGAAATAAACTAGGTCAGCTGTCATTAGTTGGTTGGCACTGAGAGTTCAATGTTCTGCAAATAAGAGTGATGTGCATGAGGGTAAGCTTTTGCTTGTTATTAGCCTGCCTTGTCTGGTTATACCAACCAAGAGCAAAAGCTAACACAATTAATTCAAGGGTCCCATGAATGGATAGACTCTACAACAAACATAAGTTTGTAGGTGAAACTTTCTTTCCCCCAAAGATCAGCAGTGTCACAAGGGCTTTGTGTGACAAAGTTCACCAAAGCAAATCTTGTTTTGCCTCCGCTGTGCCCAGTGATTGTGTCAACTACAATAAAATGAACATTTTTTGTCAGAAATGTTACTATTTTGTTTACTAACTGTTTACTGCTGGTATGACAAAGCCAAAATATTAATTTTGGTTGTTTCATAATCAAGGTTGATCCAACATTTTATTAAGTGCTGTGACTGCAGCTCAGCTGTCTCTCTAAGCTGATGGGGCACAGCTGCAGGCTGAGTTCAGGTTACTGTTTTACTAATAGTATATTTCTGGCTGATGGTGAACAAACTCCTGGTGCTTTCTTTTGAAAAAACTGATTATTGTGCAAGGGAAGGGCGAACATTTTGTTTTGGCCTGCCTTTTTTTTATCCAAACATGAAGTGTTTTGAAAGTCTAGCTGTACATAACAGATATGCAATGGTAAATCACTAACCCCAAAAGAAAACATTGCTTTTCTGGGTCTTTTTCATCTAGTATCTAACATCAGTGACCTTCTCTTAATGGAAAGGGAATTTGCACAGTTACATCTGCATGGAGACCACTGGTCTCAGAGCATACATCAACAATAAATTGGTGTCTTGGGGACACAAAGACATAGTGGACTAATGACCCTGAGGCTTAATCATCATGTTTACTCTGTATTTCTGTGTCTCTGTGACATTGTATCACAACAGGTGAGAGTTACATCAGCTTTCCTTTATTATCTCATCAATAACATGGTAATCTCATGTGTATGGACTGTACACATCAGACTACCTCAGAGGAAATGTGTTGGTTGATGCCCCTCAGTGTCTCAGGCCACTGTTTAGCCAAGTTAAACTTTCATGAAAGCCTTTGTGTCGCATAAACACTGTACTGAATAAAGAATGATGCCTTACAGTGTAACCTGTATGCATCATGCTATTATTTACACCATCGTATCTCATAATTGAGGCATTAAAGTCAAGTTTTTCAGACTATGTCTCTAATTTGGTCATGACTAAATACAAATAAGGAAGCCAAACAGTCATTATCATACTTTATAATACATTTTTTGTTTCTACACCTTGCATTTGAATGGCACAGAGTTGGAAAGAAACTAAGTACACTTTCCAAATTACCGTACTTAAGCACTTCACTGAATTGCAAACCAACAAGCAAAGTTTGTATAGCACGTTTCCCAGAGACTAGTCACAAAGTGCTTCTAAATCAAAATGAATAAAACCAAATGAAAGAATTAAAATCAAATACATCAAATAAAAGCAAAGTAAAAACGATAAAAAAGATAAAATATACAGGAGTTAGAACGGATATAGATTTTAGATGCAACCTAAAAGCCTGTCTGAACAGAAGGGTTTTCAGCTGCTGAGAATATACATTGGGTCCAGTCAGGTGTACTGTGAAAATAACCCTGATGGTGTCACAATGTCAGGGTACTTGTGCTAGATAGACTAAAAGTCAGAATATCTCTGCTGCTTTTATTTGACAACTCACTTTTTAATCTGTCTCATAATTTTATGGGAACACAAAGTAAAATAGACCAATCCGCTTGGGTCTTATTTTTGTCACTTTGGCCACCATTCCTGTTCATAATAATACAATTCTATTTTCCAAGTTAACTGCTGAGATCTGAGAGTGTGTCGACACTAAAAAACCTTTGCTTAAGTTACAAGGTGTCATGATGTGATTGGTTCTCCATGAGGTGTGCAGTTTTGTTACAGTAATGCAACAGATTGGTCCTTGTATTAGGGCAATGATTTATAGTACATACAATATACAGTATACTATACTGTGGCCCTGAAGTGCAAAACACAAAAGGCTGGGTAATGAGGCCTGGCTCACAGACATTTCTCCAGTTCATCCTAAAAGTATTACAAGGGGTTGAGGTTGAAGTTCAGCTCAGTGTAGGCCACTGAAGAACTGAGAAAAACATTTCTTTTGTGACCTTGTTTGTAGGTTTACAGGTATAGAATATTTCTTCTTTTTGCTTGTATTTCTTTTTGTGTCTGTTTTGTTTCTTTGTTTGATACGATTTCATTTAATGTATACATTTATTTATAACTTCTGTTGCTTCCACTTTCACGTTTGCTTGTTTGTTTCTTCGTTGTGCTCCTACACAATACATCTTTGGCTCCAACTTCTACTGCCTACAGCCAGCAACAGGAGAGGATTATACAGATGGGTGACAAATTAAAGGATTAAAGTGTTTTAGTAAGGTGTTGGGCCACCGTGTGCCACCAGAAGAGCTTCACTGCAGCCTGGCAAACTCTACTGGAGGGATGGAGCACCAATTCGCCAAAACATATTCCCTCCTTTGGTGTTTTGATGATGGTGGTGTGTGGAATTAAGTGCTGTCGTTTAACATGTCGTTCCAAAATCCCCCATAGGTCATAACATATGATTCATGTCAACTTTTTGGCATCAAACTATGCAGTGACCCCTCATGCCCTATATGAATGGGGGCATTGTCATCCTGTTTCTCATTTTTCAGGATAAGGATCAGGATCAATATATGTGCCTTCATGAAGACATTCAAGTGTCAGGGCAGTTGTAAGAAGTTTGTAAAGTCATGTGTGCAGCATTTTCTGTTTTTTCACTTATCTAATACTCAGTTTTAATTACACAAACATCTCAGCTGTGAAAAAGGAGAGACGACAGTTGTAAGCTCCCTGATGTGAACATTGTAGAGCATTTAGCAGCTGTAGCAACAGATATTTCCCTCGGGGATAGAGCTAAAAAATAAAAAAATAAAAAGCTAAAAGAGTGTGAATACTGAACTTACCTCACAGAAATACACATCTAAAAAATGCTAGTGCTGCATATGCCTTACTATACTATGATGTTTTTTTGATGTTTTATGCCATACTACACTATGAAATTTTTTTGGCAATTTTATGCCTTTCTATACTGTCTAGTTTTACACCTTACCATACTATAACGTTTTTATGACCTTTTACACCTTAATATACTGAGATGTTTTTTTGACGTTTTATGCCATACTATACTATGACAGTTTTTGGAAATTTTATGCCATACAATACTATTTCATTTGAAGCCTTAACATAATATGACGTTTTTATGACTTTTTATGCCTTAATATGCTGTGATGTTTTTTTGACTTTTTATACCATACTATACTATGATGTTAATTGGCATTTTTATGCCTTACTATATTATGTCATTTCATTCCTTACCATACTATGACGTTTTTATAACCTGTTATGCCTTAACAAACTATGATGTCTTTTAAACTCCTCTCCAGTTCTGTCTGAAAATGTTATGGCATATAATGAAATCTGTGATGTGTTTGTCATTTTATTTGTGAGCTTGCGCTTGCAAAAATGAGGCAACTCTGCATACTCAAAAATAGACTAGTGGTAAAACAAAAGTTCACCAAAAGGAAAATCATAATGTAACCCACGTAAAAATGTCATGACTTTGTTTTTGAAAGAAATGTTTTTCAGGTTGTCATGATTTACAGTGACTGAGTGAGGATTAAATCAAATCATTTTTATCTTCTTGACCAGGTATATTTATGAAATCATAGAACAAAAAAGGGTTTGACAAAATATGTTTAACAGACTGAATAATATATAGTTCATATGATCTAGTATAAAGTCAGAGCAGGCCAGTTAACAGCAGCTTCACACACCAGTGTATGTATTTCTACTTGTTGCCACGAGAGGTCAGCTTTTCTTCATTGTATTGTTACACCTCTGCCATGTGTGTTCAAAAACTGCAAATACTGTGATCACAACTTCAACTCTGTTTCACTTTTGATGATTTCTGCCTCTTTTCACACAGCCGTCACAATGAAAGCACAGGGACTGTGTGGAGATTTCTCCTATAAATCCTCTTCCTTAACTTGTTCCTAATGAAGACAAATCTGTTTGTACTGTTGGTTCATTCAATATGTGAAAATAAGCAGAGGGAATAAACATTTAGTTCTGTAATCAGTAAAAACCTTAATCTAAATGGATATATAGGTTATCATCCTGGTGTTTCTACCAAGGTTGGATTTTTTTACACTTTTTCCATTTTTTATCCATTGTGTCAGGGTGAATGTTACAGCTGGTGTGATGTGTATGATATTTTATTTTCACTGTTTATTACCACAAACTGATAACAGCTGTGAACTTTTGATTTGATGTGCCGCAATAAAAAATGATTTGTTGTTTTTGCTGTCTTAAGTGAGGAGTTTGATTGTTGGCTTGCGTCGATAGATTCAAATAATGGAGAAAACTGTAATATAAAGTAAATGTAAAAGAAGTTGATATTATCTAATAAAGCAGTGGGCCATGTAATAGCTGTTGCATACAGAGGTCAGTCATAAAAAAAATAAATAAAAAAAACACCATCACATTTCCCTTAATGCAGAGTAGAATAGGTCGGATTTTATCTTCTTGCAGGCACCATTAACCAATAAGTTGCTTGCTGGATTTGTTGTGAAACAGCTGATGGAAAATGTGAATATCACTGCAGTACTCATTTACAACGGCAGATGGTGGTGAGGTATTTTAATTAAACAAAACTGGATGAGACGTGAAGGTTAAGTATTCATACGGTCTAGGTAGGGGAGCAGAGTATTAGCACTGGGAATTGGCATGAATGCTAATTAGTTTAACAATGTGCAGTTTTTTTGCCTTATAGAGACACTGGTCGCATCTTTACATTATAATTTTTTCAAAGAGATGCTGCTACCCCATTAGATCTGTACCTTGCTGTTCTGCTTCTGTAAAATTTAAGTGGGAGAGTCCTGTTGTCAGGCCTGTTCTCTTGTCAACATCCCAGATATTTCTCCTCTTTTCCATTTGTGTACTTGAATGTGTCCGTCTGTAGAGGACACTGCAGATTCACAAACTATTTCAATATATTTAAACATTTCAAGGGTATTTTCTTTATGAAGACAAACATAAGGGCTGTTGTCAAAAGAGCAGGGCAGTTTGGGGGAGCAACAGGCAGGCACTGCTCTCAACACCAAGTTAAGTGAAACATAAGCATCAAGGTTAAAATTGACTGTTGTCACATTTACCTACAATAACTTGTTCTTGAGTGATTAAAGAAGTATCACTATATACGGCGTGGCATTTAGGTAATACCACAAAATAGTGGTTTGTCAGAATCGTGTTGTTCCCTCATCGGCCACATTCCCTGCTTCACTGCCGCACAATATTGCCTGTGTGTGACTGCAAAAGTGTTAACAATCATGTGTCCTGCCCATGCATGAAAAGTATTTTTACTGGCATGCCTAGACGTTTAGGTGGCAAGTGAAAGTAATAAAGGCCTTACTTGGTTTAGGTGGTCAAAAAACACTTACATGGGCCATCATCAGTTTGATATGTAGAACCTCTGCTTATGCTCTCTTGCATTATTTAACAACAAATACCACGCGTACGCTGACAAAACATTACAAACCTTATCTGTTTTATTCAAACTGTACACGTACAACAGGCTTATCTCGATAAAAAACAAGTAAAAAAGACAAAAATGAGTATCCCCATAAATACAATATGCCTTTAAAAAAAACAGTCTGTGTTTACTTGGTAGGTTGCATATGCTGTGATAAAAATACACACAAACACACTCATATTCCTTCTGAAAACATAGTACAACACAAACAGATCAGTCTGGTATCATTGACACTGGAAGATCACAGCGCACAAAATATTTCTGCCTTGTTAGGTAAAAGCACGATGGATGAGAGATGAGCCGTGTGGAGTGCTCAATCCTACATGCTAATTTTAACCGGGGTTTGAGGTATGTAGTTCATTCACATGAAATGCGACATTTCTTGTTTACAAACTGCTGTAACAGATTGGTACATAGTGTGTGTTTCTAGTATGAGTATGTGTGGATTTGGGGCACAGCTTTAGAGATTAAGAATGACGAGAGTACCAGGTCCGTAAGGTCATACCTTTGTGAGTTTTCATTCATCATTTACATCATCATGTGATGTATGTTGAGAAAATGTGCTAAACGACAAGAAACAGCGGCATCTGGCACATCATATCCTGCCTTGCAGATGACTCAGTCAAGACCTAAACATGTTTTTCTGCTCAGATTTCCAGACACGATCTCCGTCTGATTTTATAAATGAGAGAAATAAAATGTGATTCAGCTCAAGTGACTAGTGCTCTACATTAAACAGTGGGTTATCAATGGGACTAAATCACTGCAGGTTACTTTTTTCCTCACTTGAATTAAAAGTCTCGAGTTTCCACAGAATGTTCAAAAACTATGCAGGTTCCAGAAAATAAATGAAGGTCCTCAGTCCTGAAATACACTTTTGGGTTTTGTTACTCTAATGGTAAGAGCATTTAGTTCACATTTTCCTGCTATTCTATAAAGAGGTTTACAGTAAAATCTGAAAATATTTTTTCTGTACTAGCTGAGGTCATGAACATTCAATTTCACCAAAACACATAATCAATTTAGTTCTAATAACCTCTTATATCATCTCCACAGATTCTGTCCCAGATATACACTACACCTCCGCTGCAGTTTGTCTCCACTGCACTCTCTCAAATTGAAAAAATGTTTCCACATTTGTGACCTTTGACTTCCTTCTTAGTGTTTCCATGATGTAAAACATCAAACATAAAGCTGGTTTCTAGGTGGAGAGAAAATAAATGCCATCTCTCTGAGTTTTAAAGGCTTGTGTAAGGTAGACACTAAAATAATGATTCATTAAAAACTCTAAAATGTTCAGTCTGTTTATGAAACCATTTACCGCTATGAGTGAAATTATACAAGAGACAGATTCTGTAACAGTGGGCAGAAAACAGGTGTGAATGTGTACAGTCATCTTTATCCAGGATGAAATAACATTAAAATCCTGAGCAACCATTTCCCCTCCCACGGATTAAATCTGGATCCTTGAAATGGTGCTTTGGATGTCTTAAAAGCTTAAAAAGTCTTTTTGATGGGAGATCCAACAGTCGAGAGACCACACACAGAGACAAACAATGAGCTGTTGTGTCTCCATTACAGAGAGTGGAGGCCTGTGTGTGTGTGTGTGTGTGTGTGTGTGTGTGTGTGTGGTCTCTTGAACTGTCAGATCCAAGTTATCCTGTAGTGGATCAGTCGTTTTTAACACTTGTAACCTTTATATAGCTGTGCAAACCAATATGTAACTTCATTCACCTTCGGAGTGAACATTCAACGCAGAAGCAAATATTCATCAGTCTGAAAATCAAAAAAAAGAAAAAAGAAAAGAACGAAAAATAAAAAGTGTTTTGATTTCTGGGCAGCCACTTGGCAGTAATGGCAGAGTTGATGGTCATTCCTCAGATTACAACAGGAGAGATTGTACTCTGCAATATTTAACACAGTATTAAAGCATTTCGGTCTTTAGCTAAAGGCAGAGTAACTTAAAATTTACATGTATAGTCCAGGCTTCTCTAGTTAATGAAATCCCAGTCAGGTGGCGTGGCTGCTGTAGGGATCAAACCTATGACCTTTTTGCTGCAGGGTGGACAGAGTGCCACACTGCATGGCCCATCAGTCTTTTCTGTTATGGTGCTTTCCACTGAGAAGCTCTCACCAGAGTTGACAGAAAGTACATTCAAATGTAATATTAAGGATATACGCAATAATAAGTGGGGAATTTCATATTAAAAGTAACTTCACCAGTCTGGCATTACAGTTCAGGGACCAATATGTCCATTTTCACCAGGTTATAATCCAAACGATGCAAAAGTCAGGAGTGTAGGCTGTCTGATGATGACAAAAAAAGAGAACAAAAAAGAAATATATTGAAAATTCATCCAACTTCTACCGAATATAGAGTATATAAAGTTTGGTTGTGTCCAAAAACCTGAAAATGCAAAAATCTGATCAAAAAAATGTCCGTAATAGCATTTAAAAAAAACAAAGCTATGTGACCTCTTTTTCGTGGTTGTTAGATCCAAAACTCCGTGGCTTTGTCTTTTCACCCTCCAGCTTTACACCGTTGTCTCTCCGTGGTTACCGTTGCTAAGGCGCTTGTAGAACCTCCGCCATGATTGAAGAGTCTTCCCGGACCAGACCCAGAAACCCGAGGTGATCCCGACTATCATGGTCATCAGGTATTTGATCATGAACACGGTGAAGTCTGGAGTCATGGGGGCAAAGTTGTGAACCGGACAGGGTACGGCGAAGCGCTTACAGGTCTGCATGTGCCAGGTCCGCTCCCAGTGCTCCCTGAAGGCCTGCTCGTAGAAGTAACAGGCGATCACTATGGTGGCCGGTACCGTATAGAGCACACTGAAAACACCGATCCGCACCATCAGCTTCTCCAACTTCTCCGTCTTGGTGCCGTCGTGCTTCATGATTGTGCGGATCCGGAACAGGGACACGAAGCCGGCCAGTAAGAAGGACGTGCCGATGAACAGGTAGACGAAAAGCGGGGCCAGGACGAAGCCACGGAGGGCATCCACGTTGAAGATCCCAACGAAACACACCCCGGTCAGGACATCGCCGTCCACCTGGCCCATGGCTAGGATGGTGATGGTTTTGATGGCCGGGACAGCCCATGCTGCCAGGTGGAAGTATTGGGAGTTGGCTTCAATCGCCTCATGTCCCCATTTCATCCCAGCCGAGAGGAACCAAGTCAGGGACAAAATCACCCACCAGATGGAGCTGGCCATGCCAAAAAAGTACAGCACCATGAAGAGGATGGTGCAGCCCTCCTTTTTAGTCCCTTGGGCCACGGTCCTATAGCCGTCTTCCTTGAATTTGTCCACACAAACTACTTTATCCTCCAAGAAAAATCCAGCAGCGTAGGCCACCGCCACCATAAAATAACACCCGGATAAAAAGATGATGGGCCTCTCTGGGTATCTGAACCGCCTCATGTCCACTAAGTAGGTGAGCACTGTGAATAAGGTGCTCACGCAACACAAGATGGACCAGATGCCAACCCACAGCCGTCCAAATTTCACCTCATCCTCCCGGAAATACATAATTCCGGTTGGTTTAGTGGGCTCACACGGGGCCCCGCAGTCTTTGACCCCCATGAAACGGTAACCCAAATAGGAAGGCACCTCCAGCTGTAGAGGGCAGGAGAACTGGTGGTACTGGTTGTGCTGGGGCGGGCGTTGGTTCGGTCGGCCAATATTTGGGGGGAGAGTCGGGTCGGGTGCATAGGGGGAAGACGAAGAGGCCGGGCTGCCGGGGTCGGATGTGTTCTGGCCGACGCAGATATCACCGGCTCCGTGGACTGGGAATGCCTCGCAGCGGAGCCGCTCTGGCCACTGAAAGCCGAATTTATTCATCAGGGCTTCACATCCCTGCCGTGCACGCTCACACAGGGACCGACAAGGGGGTATGGCCTGCTCCAGTACAGTGCAGACCGGCGCATACATGGAGCAGAGGAAGAACTTAAGATCCGCAGAGCACTGGACCTTAACCAGCGGGTAGAACTGGTGCACTTCAAGTCCGGCGTCCTCTTGGTTAGTGTGGCCCAGGAGGTTCGGCATGATGGTCTGGTTGTAGGCGATGTCGGTGCAGAGCGGGATGGAGATGGGTTGGCAAAACCCGTGTTCTGGGACGGATATTCCACTCTCACTGTTGTAATGTTGAGCAGAAGTAGGTGAGAAGGCCAGCCCGCACACCAGCCACATGATCCGCAGAAAAACGGAGCCAGTGGTGGACCTGGCCGCCGCCATAGTTGAGGAGGAGGGGGGAGGGAAGGAAAAAACTTTGATCCAAGTAGGACGACTTAAAAACAGCTGAAAAGCGAAGAAAATCAACGGCAACTGTCCCAATACTTAGCTCGTAGTCCAATTAGTTCGAGCTGAAATACATGTAATCGACTTTTCTCGTGTTTTATGAAGATAAATCCAAGTAAAACGTTCGTCGTGTCATGACTTCTTGATGGTCTTTGTAAGTGACTCCAAGCAGTCCACTCTCACTCCCAATCCGGTGGAAATAACACTTACAGTCCCGTTTTTCTCGAAGTAATGCAAGCACAAATTATTCTAGCGCGTTTAACACTTAAACGTGGTTACTTTGGCGCAAAACAAAAACATTTGAAACGCGAAAAGGCTTATATTTCCATCGTTTTTCGACTTGACTTCATGCGGCGCGTCGATTCACATGCTGAGCAGTTGGAAGTCCAGAGGCTCGCTCTCCTCACTCCGTGCAGATTCCACCGGTTTCCAGGCGCCCCCTTCATTCACAAGACACCCCACCTCCACACAGACAGAACGCAGGGCGCCTTGAAACCGATGCCAAGTCTCATCCAATCCTAGCGTTTGTTTTCCTACAGGACTCGTTCTTGATTGGCTTTTACTCCCCATCGAAGGAAAATATGTTACAGTAATTGCATTACACCGGAGATTTTACAAACTTAATTATTTTTCTGTCCAGGTTTTAAGAACAATTTGCCTATAGTTTAGTTTGTGTAAAGCACTTAAAATTTCATAGATGACACGAACATATATTGTCCTTTTCTTGCATTTATGAAAAAGAAAACAAGCATGTAAATCCCAAACAGCAGGATAACACATTTGTAAACTATCAATTAATTTTTTCTTTATTTTTTGTATTCTCTTTCATACTTTTACTGTACTACTTATGAAGGAATGTTAACATTTTTTTTTACACAACTGAAAATTTGAAATGTGTTTACAGTAACAAATCTACTCCTGTAAAATGTGCTCAAAGGAAAATTGGTTGTGCTACTTTTGTCAAGAAAAGAACAGCACAAAGCCTATGCAGTAGATTATAGAAAACACTGGGAATTATATATAAAGTGCATAAACACAGTCCCCCCCCCTGAATTACTGGCCACATTTCATAATTTTCAGCAATTCAAATACTTGATGAGGTGAAATAAAATGGCAATTCAGTCTGATTATAGGGCTACAAACACAGTTAAGTCAGATTACCCATCTTTGCAAACCAAGTATGTACCAAGTATTCAATTTCTAATGCGTGTACAAATGTGTTTGTTATGGCAGAACAGCAGGATAAAGCACATTTTCCATCATTTATTTGACCTTTCCTGTCTTATCATCTTTCATCTTCTACATAAGCATACACACCCTGTAGTATGTGTCCTCTGTTTACGAGAAAAACTTGTGTTTAAGTTTAGTTTTAAGCTTTCTCCCATCTGCACCATTTGAATATGCAGCTGTGATGTTGAGTTCTCTCCAGCTCCTCACAGAATCTCTACACACAGCCACTCACTGTATGTTGGACAGGTAAACACACTGCAGCACAGTGAGCAAACCATGACAAAAATGTTATGAAACCCAAATGAATTCCAGCATCTTAACTACTCAATCAGAGCAAGTATCTGTTGCTGTTAGAAGTGTTTCATTGCTCACAATCAGATGCAGCTCCTGGACCGATCTGCATAATCGTGGGAATAAAGAGCAGCAACAGTCAAAGCAGCAGTAATTCACAGGCCACCGAATGTGGGAGGTGTAAGCGGTTCCTGGTGGTCTTGCTGCATTTGGTGTGTTTCTACCCTGAGTGGGATAAAGAGGGTGGGGGTAGTTTGGGGGTGGGGGAAGGGACAGGAAGAGGAGAGAAGGTCAAAGAGGGCAGGGGGAAAGAGCGAAGGAGACAGAGAAGGAAGCTGAACCAAAAGGAGAAGTCGGTAGAGTTCCCCGCTGCAAGATGGCTTACAATGAAATAGGTAGGCCGGTGAAGATTTCTGAACAAACACAGAAAGATATTCATCTAGAAACTGCAGGCGAAATGTTATCCCTTGTCCTCAAGGATCTTTGTGCTGACTGTATCACAGATGACCATAGTACTACTAAAAAAAGTGGGAAAGAGGCCATCCTCTATGACAGGGACTACTTTGCCTCATTCAGTAATTTAGCATATCAACATGACACGTTCCTTTCTCGCATCTTAACCTGTGCATGCTTCCACTGGGCAAATTATGCAACATATTAAAAGGAAAGAAAACTGAACACACAATACCAATTCTCAGGTCTCTGTACTTCGTTCTCTGTACCTACTCAGGTCATCTTGTAGCAGTGTACTCAACATTACCAGAGTCCAAACTAAACATGAAGAATCACCAATTAGTTAATGTGCTCCACTTAGCTGGAACAAGCCTACAGAAGACGTAAGCCTGGCTCCACCTTCAAAACCGTTTATAAGTCCTCTGTTCTCCACTGCCCTTGGCTCAAGCTTATATAGGCTACTCATTATCCACCTTGTGCGTAGATGATAAATTCTCCTATTTTATCCCTCTTTTTTGTCTTGTACATTAAAATTGTTTCCCTTGCCTTTGCCTTTTGTATGTGAAATGTACTGTATCTGCTGCTTTGCATTTTTCAGTTTATTTTGTAAGTGTGTGTTAATGTATGTATGAATTGTCTGTCTACATAAAATTTGTTAGCTTGTTGATCAGAGTGTAGCCAACCTCAGAGATAGCATGCAGTCTCTTCAACAACACCATACAGGGATGGCTGGATTGACAGACGATGATCTACAGGTGCTCCGAGTGTCGACACTTTTGGTGGTATCCATCTTGGACTCCCAGGACATCCATTGATGTTTGCAGTTTGAGTCTATCTGAGGACATTTGTTGCGTGTTATCCTCCTTTGCCAAAACTGAAATCTAAAAAATGAAAATTAATTACAAGGAACATATCAATGCTTCTTGGAACTGTATTCAATAGTTTTTCAATAGCCCGTTTTAAAAAGCAGAAAGATACAGGCCTTTTTTCTTACCAGCAAGTTGCAACAGGATAACTTCATAGGTAACTGTGCTGTTTCAATCTATCTACCCAACCTGTGTTTCTAATATAATCAATACACACTGAACTCAGTGTCAATACACCCAGCAACACTGATTACTGAAAAACAGATTGTATTGATGAGCAAAAGGGGAGGAGGTGGGTCCAACATATTCAGTGTGATTCATGGCTGTGAATAGTTTGTTCTCTTTTTCAGGCAAGCTTTTCCAGGATGCCAAATGACCAGACCTCATCAGGGCCAGGAGTTATTCAGAGAAAAACAGCTGCTGTGGGGGTTAAATCTATGACCACTGTTTTAAAGTATGCCAAGGAAAGGCATTATGATTACATGGAAATATGAGCTAAAAGACAGAAATGTTAAGGCTATTGCTGGGAGCTTCAGACAGCTCAATCATTAGTCTAGATGGATAAATTTCACTGGTCAGTGCTGTTCAATGCTGTCATTGGATTGGTTTCACTAGTTGGGTTGAGATCTGATGGACAGCTCTGTAATAATTAAAGACTCCAGCTAATAAAGTTATTGACTGAGAGTGTTGTTAGTATACTGTGATTTCCCTAGGGAGTATTGGTCCAACACCATCTGATCAGTCACAGACACTGCAATGTTACACACTAGAATGAATGGAGGGAAGCACATGTTTACCTTTCACACTTAGGCTACTCTGGAAATACTGGTACTTTGGAAGAAGGTTGCAATACGAGAAAGCATTTACAGAAAATCATAACTACCACATGCATTGCTCTAATGTAACTGATTTTCCAAAATTTGCACACATCAAACTATGGTAAATGTATAGAACACACATTAACTTATATGGACCTACATAAATGAACAATGCCATGAACTTTCTTCGCCTTTTATGCATTATGTGAAAGCAAATTTTTTCAAATTTGTTGAATAAATATTTTTCATTTTGTTAGTTTTAAATTCCAGTTTGCTCAAAATCCTAAATTTGGACAACAAAAATGAATAAATACAACTTGATTGTGCTGAAAGAGGAAGCCAGCCCTACTGATGCCGGCATGTTAAACAAATCTCATCATATGACATTGTTTACCAAACTCAAACAACAGTTCAACCTGGGGTGGTTAACAAGACTGTGCAGAAAATTTCAACAAGCTCCAACTGGGAGGTCTGTGTAAATTTGTGGTTTATGTGATTTATAGATTTGAGAAATACCTAAAAGCTTAATTGTAAAAAATGGTTTCACTTAGGAGCCTAATGATTTTGATTGAAGGCTACAGACCGCTAATCAGTGACCGGTGACTTGAAGGATAAGTGATGATTTAAATCTGTCATACATGTTGGTGAGTTTGATTGTAAAACCTGTTAAACCAGGCTAGCCATAGCTGTCTATGTCATGAATGCTGTTTCACCACTACAGACGCACAGACACAAGCATGTAAAAGCATAGACTTTGTACAATTTTACAAGTGGTTGTAGCAAGATGATCTCTGTCTCTCTCTTCCTGCCTCACTCACTCAGTCACTCACTCGTCGTTCCTGACTGTGGTGTAAAACGCAGCAGTTAGTAGGCACAACAGGTCAAACGGACACACTTCATCATGTTTAACTGAAGCTGTTTGTTTGTGTGTGTGTGTGTGACTATGTTTGTGGATGGTGTCTGCAGTGGTCAAGCAGATGGGGGCAGTCCAGCAGGTTTCCAGACAGTCAGTCAGTGTTTGGACTGCGGTCTGCTGCAGCTGGACATCTGCTGGAGAGAAAAAAAAGTTACACAAACAACAACTAGATTTACAGTAGACCAAGGTGAAATAAACACAACAAAAAAGATTTTGATGGTTTGGACTGTGCTTGCTCAGTTTGAGGACAGCCAGAAGTGTGACCGCCATGCAAAGTATTTGAGCAACCGTGTGAAACCCAATGCTGAACAACTATTTAGATGTGGAGCTGAGGTGGAAAAACACAAGCCTCTTAGTTTAGTCTGAGGAGGTTTTCCAATTTGAGGACGGCTTACAGGACATGTCGGCTTACCAAGTTGGTCTAACCAGCATGTTAAGTGTTTTTGAGGAGTGAGCTAAAGGTTAATACATCATCCTGGTGTTTTTCACGCTTTAACCCTTTCTATATGTGGTTATGTGAGTTAGGTGAATTTGTAATCATTATTTTTGAACATTTTGTAGTTGCATTTGAAAATGGATCTGGTTTATAGTAGTTTATGTTTTTTAGTTAGCCCATATGGCCTGGCCATATTCACCTGAGACCACAGTAAAAACATCTTTATCATTGATCTACATATATGAGTAGGTGGGATTCATCACAATAAACATCATGTCTGGTTTTATTTAATGTAAAGTTATGTTTTTCTTGTGAAGTAACAAGTATGGATTTATATGATGAATCTGCAGGTGTGATGCAGATACTTACAAAT